TTATATTTGAATCTGTAATTTTATTCAAATTCAAATGCATTCTCAGTTGTTTGAGAGTAAAACGCTTCCCTTCCCATTTAAGGATGCATCTAGTTTTCTTCTAGACAATAATAGCTGATTGGTTCTCTCTCTTTCTCTGTTTTTTACTTTGATGGAGACCATGGGAAGGGTGCAACACATATAAATGGTATGAGTGCTCTCTCCCTATCTTGACCAAGGTATTTCCTTTAAAGGAAGCGGTCTAGGTAGGCTGCACTAGGTTTTGGGACAGAGCCTTTGTTTGACCATTTTACGTGCGGCCTCTAAGTGAGTTTAAATCATACAGACAGTCCCATTTCACAGACCTGCCTGTTTTTTCTCGCTAACTGGGAAAATGTCTACCAAGATTACTGACACGTAAGACACACTTAAGGGCTTGTTCTGCATAATCTTTTCCAGTAACTGAGAAGGAATGTCTCGATTCATTCCATTTACATCGCAGCCGTCCTCTCTGTGGCATGTAACCTCACGTCTGAGTAATACGCACAAACCGCCTCCCTCTTACATGGGCAGAGCTCCTCATTTCCATGGAAACTCATTCAGAATGTCATAGACACCTGTTGAGCTTGAAGTGCTGATCACCGGGTGCTGTGTGATATCGAATGCATGTTAGGGCTGCTCATACGAGAAAAAAACATTGTTATTTTGAGGGGAAAAAAGGCTACATCAAACTCAGAAATTCAGAAATATGCATTGAATGTCTATTAAGCATTAAAACTTTATTAATTATAATTTGTTTGTTCACATTTGTTTGTTTTAATTTCCAACAAATAGCTAATTTCTCAGTAAGGAAGCTTACATTAGGGGTTTAATTTAAGTTTATTATAATATAATATTTTATTTAAGAATAATATAACATACTCTAATTTATATATTATTTTGTATTTTATTCTCATTTGATATTTAATAAAATATGACAATAATGTTATAATGATCGAACATATACAGTGTATATTTTTTTTGTATATGTAGCTTTCCATTGATGTATGGTTTGTTAGGATAGGACAATATTTGGCTGAGATACAACTATTTGAAAATCTGGAATCTAATGGTGCAAAAAAATCTAAATATTGAGAAAATCACCTTTAAAGTTGTCCAAATGAAGTTCTTAGCAATGCATATATTGCTAATCAAAAATTATTCAAAAATCAGTAGGAAATTTACAAAATATCTTCATGGAACATGATCTTTAATTAATACCCTAATGATTTTTTGGCATAATAGAAAAATCAATAATTTTGACCCATACGCTGTATTTTTGCCTATTACTACAAATATACCCCAGTGACTTAAGACTGGTTTTGTGGTCCAGGGTCTGTCCAGGGTATATAATTACCATCAGAATTAAAGTTGGAATGATGTAGTTGATATTAAGAGATATTTAGTTGATATTAATTTATATATATAAAAAAAAAAATGTTCTGCATAGTGTGAACCTGTTCATTTTCCATTATTGTGATTTATCAGCGAGAGCCAAGTTAATAAGAACGCTGGAACTGAATTTGATCACTATGTACTATTATTTTGGACTGTGAGAAGTAACATGACGTTTTAAGTGCTTTTCCAGCCTGATTAAAAAGGAAAGTTTTAGTGTTATGTCCTGCATATTCTTTGCTTTGATTCCAAATTGAATGTACTTCTGCAGGGGAATAAAGTTCTGTGAAGGTTCAGTCAACCACATGTAGATGTATCACATCTGAATTTATTGCCGCTGTCAAAATCCAAAAAGTCCAGTGTTGTTTCTGCAGTTTTATCCCTGTAGGTAATATCCTCTCCTCCGTCCTCATCTCTTAAACACTTCGGTGAAGCTCCATTTATTCTCCAGACCCTAATAAAACCCTCCTGATTGTGATTAACAATTGAATGGTCTTGTATAATGTCACTTACAGTATAAGCTTAAAGGGTTCTCTGAGATTCACTTAACTAAAGTCATAGTGGAAAGACTTTTTTTTGCATTAAAAAAAATCATAATTTTGATAACATAAACATAATTCATGTCAGTTTTTTAAACCTCTTTCAGACCCTTTTTAAATCAACATCAAGAATTAGGTTAATGTTTATATGAATGTAAAACAAGAAAATGTTTATTTTAAGTTTCTAACCACTTTAATCATCTTTAGCCTGTACTGGTTCATTTTACATGGTGTGACAGATCATTTGCATGCATAAAAGAATGAGCTTTTTAAAATAGTTTTAGATGGAGTATGCAGTAACACCGGAGGACTTCCAAAAAGTATTCAATGTCAGCTAACCAAATGCAATTTTCACATGTGATAATCTGGCATTACATTTTGATTTGTTCACAAAAACTATCTGTACTAAAATGTGTCTCGTTTAAAACGGCCATAGGAAAAAAGATTTATGATGGTTTGTGTGTGTTTGCAGAATGTACAGAAGAACATCCAACATGGCAGGGTTGACCTATCCACCATCTGTAATTACAGCTCTAAAGGTACAGATTATCTTTACTATAGTAGACTATAACATGGCTTTAGTTTGTTTCCTTAAACTTTTATACTGTATCTGCCACCAATTCATAGGAGTCTTCCTCTTTTTCAGGATGTTGATAAATGGTCATTTGACGTCTTCACGCTTCAAGAGGCAAGTAGTGAACACGCTCTGAAGTTCCTGGTGTATGAACTACTCACCAGATATGACCTGATCAGCCGCTTCAGGGTATGCAATTACAGCTCTAAAGGTACAGATTATCTTTACTATAGTAGACTATAACATGGCTTTAGTTTGTTTCCTTAAACTTTTATACTGTATCTGCCACCAATTCATAGGAGTCTTCCTCTTTTTCAGGATGTTGATAAATGGTCATTTGACGTCTTCACGCTTCAAGAGGCGAGTAGTGAACACGCTCTGAAGTTCCTGGTGTATGAACTGCTCACCAGATATGACCTGATCAGCCGCTTCAGGGTATGCGAGACTTGAAAACCAGACACACACCAAAACTGGGATATTAAACACATTGTTTACCTGGGATACTGACTCATACACCATAGGGAAACTACCATGCTGCCACTGAATAAAATTGTACTTACCCTTATGTCCTTTCAAACCGTATATGTATTTGTGTCCTTTTTTATGCAGTTACAATGAATAAGAACTGAGGCGTTCAAACTTCTAAAAGAAAAAAAAAATCATTTTATAAACGGATAGTTCCGGTCCTTGATTCTGATTGGTTGAGCCGCGTTCGAAGCTGTTGTAAATTACACTACAATCATACACCTTTGTTTTCTTCTGTGTGTTGCTCTGCAACCACTTTGTTGGAACCACAACTGTTAAGAATACTGTTTTTATTTATATCATTACACTTTATTTGCTCTGTTTTATTCTGTGAAACCTTACTACGTATATGGAATAACCGTTTTATAAAAGCAATAAGCCCCGTGAAGCCATGGTTTACAGTGAATTTATAACAGCTAAGGGGGTTTTTAGACAACAACGCCCCTTAGCTGTTATAAATTCACTGTAAACCACGGCTTCTTGGGGCTTATTGCTTTAACAAAAATCATATCTGTAGCTTACTGCATATTACTTATGCATTTCATTTAAAGTCTTTTGAAAGCATGTTACTTTGTGTGAGAAAAGACTGAAATGTAAGTCGTCATTCACTTTTGATCAATAAATCAGTTCAGTCCAATCACTGAATCAGTTCAGAATCATTGAATTGAGGAGTTCTCTGTAACTGATCAAGTCTGATTCAGTGATTCAGTCTTATGAACCAGATTGAATGATCAATGTAAAGATTTATTCACAAAAAAGAAATGATGGTTCAGTGAATAGCAACTTAAATTACAATCCATTCTACTGACAAAAAGCTATAATTTGTCGTCAAAAGACTTGAAATATAATACATGAGTTAAATTAACTAGTTTTATAATATGTTTATAGTTCCCTTTCATGGGAACTTCGAACTGCGTCCTCTAGGGGTCTCTATGGGGAAACCTAGAGGACGCAGTGTCTCGTTCCCTACTCAGGGAACCATGGTTACAGAAGTAACCTGAGACGTTCCCTTTCATGGGAACTTCGAACTGCATCCTCTAGGTTTCCCCATAGCGACCCCTAGAGGACGCAGTGTCTCGTTCTCTACTCAGGGAACCATGGTTACATAAGTAACCTGAGACGTTCTTTTGCTTCATTTTTGAAGCTTAAAATCTTCAGACTCCATTCTTTGTGACTGCATAGAAAAGAGTAACAAGCTCATCAAATAATCTTTCTGTTTGCATTCAGTGGAAGAAAGAAACTCATACAGGTTTGAAACGACATGGTACAAAGTATTTCTCTTAATATATTATGATTTCATCCTTTTGGAATCACACTTTTTTCTAAACCAAAGTTTTAACCAAAGTTGACATCATCTCCAAAGCATGCATGTTTTTTCCCTCTAACAGGAGATGTATATGTGATATACATCTGATATGAGTCGTCTGACATTTTCCATCTGTGCTCTTTCTTTGTTTTTCACCATTGTGTCAGCTCTCATCCCTTCTTACCCCTTTCACAAGCATGGTGACGACAGATTCTAAATTCACACACACAGAGCCTCATGATTACAATATAAATGCAAGCGACACATATGGCCTGTGTTTGGGTTTAGGTGGTGTCTGTGTGTGTGTGTGTGTGTGTGTGTGTGTGTGTGTGTGTGTGTGTGTGTGTGTAAGTGTACATACGTTTAATGAAGACATATTAATCACAATAGAATAGAATAGAAAAATGTATAACCATGAAAAGTTGCAACTGAACTTAACCAGGATCCATTTGTATTCTGAGTTTGTTTTGGAAGTTGCACTCAGAATCCCATTGGCTCAGAAATCACGGGTACATGATGTCTCTGTCTGCTATGCTTCTCAAGCACAAAGACGGAAGAGGAAAGTTTTATTAGACTATTCACAGGACTCTGAATCAATGCAAGTGAGTAATTCTTTCTGATTCTTTTATTGTCCCTGCAGGGTGACAAGGAGGCAGAACTAGGGCTGCCGTTCTCTCCACTGTGTGACCGGAAAGCTACCATGATTGCCCAGTCTCAGATAGGTACAGTAGAGCTAACAAACACACACACGCACACACACACACACGCGATTAAGCGATTACATTTTTAATCTAATTAATTATATTATGTGCCGATTAATTAATCAAATTGATCACAAATTAATCACAATTTTAGCTGAGAAATGATCCTATACAAAAGATAATTTAAGGTTGTTTTAGTTGAGAAAAAGCATTGAATAGACATTACAAAATCTACCTTTAGTAAGAAATATTTTGATTCAACGTTGTATAAATTTGAATAAACAGGTATTATGTTTTTTTTAAAGAATATTGAAATATGAAATTATTTTTTTAAATTTGAACAGTATTGGTCAAGACAGAGCAACTGATACAGATTTGTATCTTTGTAAAATGAATAATATATTGTTTTTTATCTCCCTGTATTTTTTTATGTTTTCTTGTGCTTTTATATATTTTGTTTAGATTTTTTTTAAATTTGGAAATTGTCATTTACAGAATGATAATAAAAACAACAACAAAAGTAAACAATAAAATAAAAAAGTTATATATAGTTATATATAAAGTTAGAAATGCTAAATAACTTTTTTGCAAGATGATAACGATGCCACTAATTAACATCAATGTATTCTATGCAAAATGTGCATATTTGTGCACAGTATACATATTATAATACTGTAGAAATATTACAGTATAAGAGACTAATATGAGAGAACAATATTTTACTATTCTGTTGTGAACATATCCATACAGACGTGCCTTTAGTGCCGTCATGCTCAGCTCTTTGCTGCCATCAAGAGGCTGCTGAGGCAATTACAAGCTCTCTTGTAATATTTAATGGAGCTCATAAAATAAATGTGTTTTGATTTAATGACACAATAACTAAAGGCGTCTTGATTGGATCAAAAAGCCATTATTGCTAATGAGTTTCTAGCTGGTAAATAATTAACAAAGGTTTCTAAACAAATACCATTTTTTTCTTCAAAGGGTTCATCGATTTCATCGTCGAGCCCACGTTCTCTGTTCTGGTCGACACCACAGAGAAGATCATTAGTCCTCTCATAGAGGAAGCTGTCAAATCTGGGGGTGTCCGCAGGTCAAGGTGAGGTGATGGTCATGTGTTCATCATGGTAAAGGTGTTTGATTGAGAGATGATAATCTGTGTGTAATCTGCTGTTGCGGTGCAGTTTGACGGGTCGGGGCTCGGCTGCGGTGGTGGAGGCAGTACAGAGACACAGCGGTCGGGGTTCGACTGATGAGCAGGGAGGCACTACAGATTACTCACTGGGCGGCATCGACCTGAAACGAGTCCGACACCTGCTCTCTGAGATCATCCAGAACAACAAGGAGCGCTGGAAAGAGCTGTCTGTTCAAGGTCTGCACACATCTGATTGTGTTTCTATCCCCTATTCACTAACAAAATAAATACATAATACATCAAATATATATTTTTTTATTTTATTAAATAAAATAAATTGCCTCCAAATATATTTACATTTAAATAAAATTGTAAAATGTTAATAAAATAATAAATAAAATAAAACAATAAAATATTTGTATTTATATTTTATTTAATTTTGTATAAAAGTATATATTTTATTTTATTATTAAATATTAAAATACACATTGTTTTATGACTTATGTATAGTTTTCAAAAATTGAAAAAAGACTTTGTTAGCTTATGTGCCAATTTTTAAATTTTATTTTATATTTTATTTTATATTATTTTATTTTGTTTTGTTTTAGTTTTTATTTAAGCCACTGTAACCAGACAAAAAAGTCAAAAGTTGCTGTTTACATAATATATGTATGTGTACTGTGTATATTTATTATGTATATATAAATACACACACATGCATGTATATATTTCAGAAAAAAAATTTATGTTTATATATTAAATATATTTATTTATAATATCAATTATATGAATATAAATATAGACGTAAATATTTTCAAATTACTGTATGTGTGTGTATTATATATACATAATAAATATACACAGAACACACACTTATATTATGCAAACAAAAACGTTTATTTTGTATGTGATTAATCGTTTGACAGCACTAGTATTTATATATACACAATAAATATACACAGTACACACACACATAGTATGTAAACATCAACTTTTATTTTGAATGCGAGTAATCGTGGTTAAAGGTGGGGTAAGTGATTTTTCAAAAATGCTTTATAAAACTGATTCGGGCCGACTAGCAAAACAAACTTGTAGCTAATCAGCAGTAAGGGGCATGTCTACTCATGATGTGGAGGAGAGAGAGTTCAGTGCACATGACGGACATTAGCGAGCCGAGCGACAGAAAGATAGAGATGGCGGATAAAAAAACAAAAGAGGAAAACGTCTGCGGAACAAAAGAAGGCTTAAGGCAAGAAGTAGGACCCATGTAAATATCGGATCAGCTTTCCAGTGCTGGAGAGAACTCAAGGAGCGGAAGGCCTGCAATCGGACGCCGAGGTTGCTTTGTTTCTTCTCGATAGGTGAGTAACACCGTGTCTGCTCCGCAACAGCTAAAGTCTGTCTAGTACACTGGACACGACAAAGCGACTGTTGAAAATCATTAGAAATTTGTGTCAATACGTCATGAATAGAACGCAGCAGCAGTTTTCTGTCGGGGATTTGTCGTATCGTGCCACACTGCATCCAGTGTAGACCATAGATATGTATATATATCTATGATGTAGACAGCATCACTGATTATAATGAGTTCTATAGTATTTTGTCACACTGCACCACTCGCGTCCGGTGTAGACATGGTGTAACATAGGTTTTGCTTTGTTTCACAGAACTAATAGTTGCCTGGGTTGTGTAAGTATGTGTGGGGCAGAGCTATCAAAATAGGGGCGAGACCCTTTTGGGGTAGGGGCGTGTTTGTTTCGGTGATTTCAAATGTCAACATTGGCTACCAGAAATCGCTTACCCCACCTTTAATCGTTTTGCAGCTCTAATTAGCATTATGCCACAAATTCTTGAACTTAACTTCTATTGCATTCTTTCAAAATATAACAACTCTTCCACAGACACATGACCCCTTTGCTTGTTACACTGTAAAAAAAATAAAAAAAAAATATTGTTTGTCTTTCTGCTTCAAAATTCCCTGTTCATTTCAGTGTTACTTGCTGATTCTGTCATTATTCTTGAAATGTAATTGTAATTTCTGAGTGAAAATGTTTTTTCCACCATTTTTCCCCCTATTGAATAGTGACCCATCATTTGTGTTTGTTGAGATATAGTGCCCAGGATAACATACTGTCCTATAGCTGATCTCACTTCCTGTCTCTTCCCAGAGTTGGCCAACAAACAACACGAGAGAATGTCAGACCTGGAAGAGGAGCCCATGAGAAACACACAAGTCACACTGTCCTGCAGCAGTCCAGCCAGAGGGAGTCACGACTTGGAGTCAAAGTCCCTGAACGAACTGAACAATACGGACTCCACTCACTCTTCCCAGGACTCTCTGGACCAGAGTTCCCAGTCCCCAACAGAGGGACCAGGCAACAGCTCAGAAACTCTGCCTTGGAACGGCAAAAGCGCCTGACGTCCCACGGACGGTGCCAAGCCTGAATGTTTTTAATCAGAAACAGGATGATGTCCATAGCATTGTCCTCATTGTATTGTAATGCTATTATACTCTCGGGCTCAGAGGGCTAATTGTGCAGACGGATGCGCAGAATGTCCACGCAGCACATCGTAGAGATGGTAGTGTGCAGTGTTGTCATTGCGACTGTGTTATTGCTGGAGACAGACCTCTATCGTCCCCTTGAGGAGGATTTAGCGAGTCCCTGAAACCAGGGGTTAAAGTGTTTTTCATCGCTACGATGGATTTCCGTCAGTTCATAAAAACAGTCACTTGCTTCATTCCTGAATGATTCAGCTGTTCGCACGAATCAATTGAATGAATGATTCAGTGATCAAATCAGTGACTTGCCGCCACCTGCTGGCGGGTTTAGTTTAATTTTTAGCAGATAATTTCAGTCAGGAGCGCTTGTCCTCCTAATTAAAAAATTTAGGAGCACCTTTTGATCAATAATCAAAAATTCTGATAAAAAATTTCCCTTCCTAATACGAGGTGACATTTGACTCCTTAAAGTGACATACAGGAGTATTTTCTTTTTACCTTCATAATGGCAACATTTTCATCTGTCAAATTCAAAAATGTTAACATTTCTATTTAAAACAATATAATAAGTAGAAAAAGACAAATAAGTTCCCCTTCAGTCGGTCACTCGCGACGTCACGTCGGATGACCGACGAATTGGGGATTCGTTCCCTCTTTCAGGTAACGAGGGTTACATACGTAACCGAGACGTTACCAATCATATGAAATTAGTATTAATTAATTTATACTACAGAGGTGGCACAGAAGAAGATGAAATTTGCTTGTAGGTCCATTTCCTGACATTTAATGAGGCTCAGAGGTGGCATGAGTGCAATTAAATTCATAAATTCATGTAGAGATTAATGTTTTAAATATACAATTTTGAATACAGAAATATGAAATGATTTAAATAACTGAAATTATAGGCTAAAAATGAAACTAAATCCGCGAGCAGGTGGCGGCAAGTCACTGATTTTATCACTGAATCATTCATTCAATTGATTTGTTCGAACGGCTGAATCATTCAGGAATGAAGCAAGTCTTTATGAACTGAAGGAAATCTGTCGTAGCGACGAAACACTTTAATCCCTGTGAAACGCAACGCTACCTATTTGCTTCCTGAGCTTTATTCCTGTTTGGCCAATTATTATTTTATTTTATTTTTTTGTAAAATGTTTTTCTTTTCTCTCTTTTTTTTTTTTTTGTTTGTAGACTGTCATTATTTATTAAAGATTATGCAGTTACACTTTGCACCATAATTAGTTTCAGTATTTTATTCTCGATACGGTCATGCTTACCGGCTCTCTGCTGCACATTAGGACAGAAAGGCTGGAAAATTATACTTCATTCTGGCATGACATGTCTCTGTGGACTTATGAATGTTATTCCCTCCAATTTCCAGAACAATCCATAAAGAGCATTTCTTTTATTGTCGCATGACACGTATAGTGTGCAGCTGTAAAATTTTAGTAGAACATGCCGCCTATTAAATCATGAGCCGATTTTTTAACGGTAGAAGTGCATGTCCTCAAAGGGGCATTATTTCATTTGAACAAACCACATTCTCCAAATGAACAAAACTGTGTCCCTTTAAATCCATACAGTATTATAGTACATAGCAGTGTCTAAATAAATGTTACATACATTGGCTGTGTTCGGATGGAATACTAGCTTACTACTCACCGAATACTGTGCAGTATATAGTGTTTAAATTGTGAAACAGAATGCATTATGTAACAGTTTAAAGGAATATGCTCTGTTTAGTGTTAAAAAGTTTTAGTCTAATGTTAGAAATTGCTAATATTGCATTAGTTTCATGATACACTGGAAATGAAGGGGTCAAATCAAGCAATTTGGCAAATGTGGTAAATCATTTGGGTATTCCATGTATACTGTGCCCTGTATACATACTGTATACTGAGAAACAGTAATAGTATGCTTTTCTGAACGCAGCCGTTGTGCATTACACTGTTCTTCAGAATCTCAGAACATTCATGAGGTACTAAACATGTGCTACCAAATCACTGTATCATGTTTTATAACTTTATGTGAAAATACTGATCTTTTTTTTTTCAGTATATATGACATAAACCACCCAAAATAAGATTTTTGTCATTTGTATCTCTTTTAAGGTCTGATGTAACACTGCTGCTTTCACACTCACACGCATTTTGAAAAGCACATTCGAGATCAGTGTCTGTTAAATTGTAGAAAGTACGTTTATTTAAAGTTTATTAAACCGAAAAGCTTCAAAAACAGAATACTGCATTTCATTTATCAGTCAGGGATGACAGAAACACCTATAGAATATCTTTTGAAATCAACTCCTCAATGCCTTTCAGATTAAATTGATCTAAAGAATTGTTTTATAACGATTCATTTCTTGAAGAAACAAGAACCATATTTTTTTTTTTTTGCGTTGATATTTTCATTTCAATCGAGCACAATTAAACAATAAACAAGGCTTAGAAACAGAAACTTAGAAATGTACAGATGTATTATACAGTTTCACTTTTTCTTGCATTAATACGAATTATAAAGGGGATTTTCATTATAATGAAAATGAAATCATGCACACAAAAAAAATAAAAACTACATTAGATTTTTTGGTTGAAATGTACCTACATTTCTTAACAGTTTTTGTGAGATTTGCCTATAATTGTTTAGCCTTTCTTTATAATTATGCTACTAAAGTCAACAATGAGATGTTGAAATGTACGTTTTGTAATTCATACAATATATTTTTGGAAATACATGTTTCACAAATTTACTCAAACAAACAAAAAATAAAATTGCCCTGTCATTTCATAAAAACAACTCTTTCTGACAGTATTAGAACACATTAATGCAGGCTGATTATTTTTTGGGGGAAAAAATGTGTGTGTATATGTGTGTTGCAGAAGATCTAAAATACTCTAATCATGTTAGCATGTACAGAATCAAGCTTTAACTCCATGTATAATGCCCACTTTTCAGATACTCATGTCAGGGAGCCGGTGGGCTGTACAACAGCCGTGTGGGACTTCAGAGTCACGTCTGCATACAAAACAGCCATATTCCTACAAAAATATTACTTTTATTCCTGTTTGGCCAATTATTATTTTATTTTATTTTTTTGTAAAATGTTTTTCTTTTCTCTCTTTTTTTTTTTTTTGTTTGTAGACTGTCATTATTTATTAAAGATTATGCAGTTACACTTTGCACCATAATTAGTTTCAGTATTTTATTCTCGATACGGTCATGCTTACCGGCTCTCTGCTGCACATTAGGACAGAAAGGCTGGAAAATTATACTTCATTCTGGCATGACATGTCTCTGTGGACTTATGAATGTTATTCCCTCCAATTTCCAGAACAATCCATAAAGAGCATTTCTTTTATTGTCGCATGACACGTATAGTGTGCAGCTGTAAAATTTTAGTAGAACATGCCGCCTATTAAATCATGAGCCGATTTTTTAACGGTAGAAGTGCATGTCCTCAAAGGGGCATTATTTCATTTGAACAAACCACATTCTCCAAATGAACAAAACTGTGTCCCTTTAAATCCATACAGTATTATAGTACATAGCAGTGTCTAAATAAATGTTACATACATTGGCTGTGTTCGGATGGAATACTAGCTTACTACTCACCGAATACTGTGCAGTATATAGTGTTTAAATTGTGAAACAGAATGCATTATGTAACAGTTTAAAGGAATATGCTCTGTTTAGTGTTAAAAAGTTTTAGTCTAATGTTAGAAATTGCTAATATTGCATTAGTTTCATGATACACTGGAAATGAAGGGGTCAAATCAAGCAATTTGGCAAATGTGGTAAATCATTTGGGTATTCCATGTATACTGTGCCCTGTATACATACTGTATACTGAGAAACAGTAATAGTATGCTTTTCTGAACGCAGCCGTTGTGCATTACACTGTTCTTCAGAATCTCAGAACATTCATGAGGTACTAAACATGTGCTACCAAATCACTGTATCATGTTTTATAACTTTATGTGAAAATACTGATCTTTTTTTTTTCAGTATATATGACATAAACCACCCAAAATAAGATTTTTGTCATTTGTATCTCTTTTAAGGTCTGATGTAACACTGCTGCTTTCACACTCACACGCATTTTGAAAAGCACATTCGAGATCAGTGTCTGTTAAATTGTAGAAAGTACGTTTATTTAAAGTTTATTAAACCGAAAAGCTTCAAAAACAGAATACTGCATTTCATTTATCAGTCAGGGATGACAGAAACACCTATAGAATATCTTTTGAAATCAACTCCTCAATGCCTTTCAGATTAAATTGATCTAAAGAATTGTTTTATAACGATTCATTTCTTGAAGAAACAAGAACCATATTTTTTTTTTTTTGCGTTGATATTTTCATTTCAATCGAGCACAATTAAACAATAAACAAGGCTTAGAAACAGAAACTTAGAAATGTACAGATGTATTATACAGTTTCACTTTTTCTTGCATTAATACGAATTATAAAGGGGATTTTCATTATAATGAAAATGAAATCATGCACACAAAAAAAATAAAAACTACATTAGATTTTTTGGTTGAAATGTACCTACATTTCTTAACAGTTTTTGTGAGATTTGCCTATAATTGTTTAGCCTTTCTTTATAATTATGCTACTAAAGTCAACAATGAGATGTTGAAATGTACGTTTTGTAATTCATACAATATATTTTTGGAAATACATGTTTCACAAATTTACTCAAACAAACAAAAAATAAAATTGCCCTGTCATTTCATAAAAACAACTCTTTCTGACAGTATTAGAACACATTAATGCAGGCTGATTATTTTTTGGGGGGAAAAATGTGTGTGTATATGTGTGTTGCAGAAGATCTAAAATACTCTAATCATGTTGGCATGTACAGAATCAAGCTTTAACTCCATGTATAATGCCCACTTTTCAGATACTCATGTCAGGGAGCCGGTGGGCTGTACAACAGCCGTGTGGGACTTCAGAGTCACGTCTGCATACAAAACAGCCATATTCCTACAAAAATATTGCTTCTGTCAGAGAAAGTTACATCAAAGCCCGAGCTCTTTCCACATGAAGTGATCAAAAATAATGTGGCAGGATGTGATTGGCTTCGCAATCCTCCCCATGTATTGCTAAATCATCTGCGGAGCACGAGTTTTCTTTCGCTTTCATATTACAACTCATGATGAAATACAACTACATTAAAGTTAATATTAAGAAATAAATCACAATATGA